CATTGGGAAAATAATAGTGGCCAAAAGAAAGTCCCCCCGGCAAGGCACTTTCTGTCTAGGGAGCAGCAGAGGAAATGGGAACCTCAGCGATAGATCTAGATATGTAATTTGAAATTCATCACATGGGATGGTAGTTAGCACTGTGGAAATGTAGGAAATACCAAGAAAAAGACAGCAAATACATTTTGAGAGAAAAAGAGTTCTGAGGAGGTAGGACCTGGGGAGCATCCTATGGAGAACCAGCTGGTGTTCCACTCCTTGATGGAAAACATACTTCATTGGCCAACAAAAAACCCAACCCCAAAATAGTCCCTTGTGGCTAAGAAGTTAGAACACACTAAAGAGATAATGTCAGTTTAGACATCCAGTTCTCCTTGACTACATCCCTCCTGCATGTGAAGTAAAATTACACTAAAGCCATATATGGCTTTATATAATAGTTGGTCTGTTTGGTTTTCTCAGAAAGGTCCTGATATGTAAAATGGTATAGGTGGATGCCTAAGCTGCCAGCCCCTCAAATTTTTTTCCAGCTGGCTTTTTTTTTTTTTTTTTTTTTTGGGTGCCTCTTCCTCAAGCAGTTGGAGCAGATCCAGAAACAGATTTGAGAGCCTCAAGCCTTTTCTTATTTACCCTTCAGTAATTACATGTCACAGGTTGTCTTCCCTATTCAAGTCTGAAGCTGAGCAATTAGTCTCCCATTGTCTTTGCAGGAAATGACGTCAGTGTGACTTCTAGGGAAGGCAACTGTTGACCACCCTGGTTAAAATAATTTGGAAAGTGTTCAGCATTTCCTCTAGTTGATCATTTAGACTGGCTGATTCAGAAAGCTTTTGGAATGAGCAAATGAACCATCGTTGTCAGGACCGGAAATACTACTGTGTCAGTTCCCTGAACAAAACAAGTTGCTCTGGTCTCTTGATGCACTGCCTTGTCTGGACTTTAGCATGGGACTGAGCCCAGTGCCTTGGCATTCTGTTCCTTTTATGCTGCTTTATTGGGGACTGATTAGTCAGGATGTTTTCTAGCTGCAAGTAATTGAAAATCTAACTTAAGGAAGCCTAAACAATAAAAAATTTATTGAAAATCCAGAGGTGTCTGCCACAGACTTCAGGGTTGACCTAATGCAATGATCTACACTCTGCTTTCCTGTGTTTTTTCTGTCTCTGGGCCAGGTTTATCCTTAGGCTGGAGCAAGATAGCTAAGGATGCCACACAACATTCACAGGACGGAGTTTCTCCCAAGAGAGTAAGAAGCTGCCAGCAAAATATTCTTCACATCTCATTGGCTTTAATTGGTCCATGTGCCTTTTCTTGACCCAATCACTGGCAATAGGAATGGGTTTCCCTAGGATCAGTGTTTCTCAAACTTCAGTGAGCAGTACAGATCACCCAGGGAATCTTGTAAAATAGATTCTGATTCAATTGCTTTGAGTGGGGCCTCAGAGCCCAGAGTTCTCAGAAGTGCCTAGGTAATGCTAATGTTGCTAGTTGCACACTGCAAAGCCTTAGACCATTCAGGCCCTGCCCCATGCTCCCACCTTCCCCAGCTTGGAGTGCTGGCACCTGCCCATTAGACACTGTGGCTGAAGAAATACGGGGGATCTCTTAGGAAGAAGGAAGAGGGAATGACCCCATGCCGATGAGAACTGTATCACAGACATTTGTTCCCAGTATGTAATGAGAATGTCACCTCTAACCCAGCAGCCACACAACATTCTGTGGTTGGTATTAGAAGCAAAAAATGCATGAAATACTACATGTTGTGTGGGATCATCCTTAAAAATCTTTTAATTCATTTAGAACTAAGTACACTCGTACATCATAATTCTTGAAACAGGAGATAAAAGTCATGCCACCTTCTTTGTTATCATTCTGCTAATTTTATTAGTAATTAATACTATATATCTATATAATTCAAATGAAGTGGATCTAAATGTCCTTAAGTATAAAAAGAGTGCGCCAAGTCCAGCCTTTGTTCTCTGAGTGGATATCTCATCAGTCTTAGTTATGGGAGAGGGAGGGTACATCCCACTTGTCCTAAAAGTCACTTGACATGATATCAGGCATGAAAAATGCTGCCCATGGTGAATTTCTGCCAAAGCAAATGGTCACAGTGCCCATATAAGTGGTTTTCAGAGGAGAAAATCAATCTACTCTCTTCATGTGAAAAGGAAGAACTATTCTGTCATTTTTTGTTCTTCTTCTTCTTGACAAAAGACACACAGGAGTCCTGAGCTGCAGCTATTTAGGAAAAAAGCTGATAAGACCGAAGGAACAGTGTCCATCCTGAGGCTGATCCATCACAAACTCAGTGGGCCAGAGGGAAGTGTGTGGCCAGGTATTACATAGACCTTCCTTACATGGTCCCTTTAAGGGTTGCCATCTCCGACCTCATTCACAGAGACAACATCGTTCAGGAGGATGGTCAGAGGGGAGATGGAATTTCACTGCTCCATCTACTTGACCCACCTGCCTCAGAAACACAGGCTGACATCTGTGAGACTGATAGGAAGCTGGGCATAGTCTGTTCTCTGGTGGAGGCCAGAACAACTCCAGCTGGCCTTCCCATACTTAGGAAATCACTGGCTGTTCCTTGTCTATGCAAAGTCCCTGCAAGGTTGAGAGCTCCTCGGCTACTCTGGACCAGCTGAGAACAGCTGCTAGACTGGAAGCTCCAGGAAGGCAGGAATTGTGCTTGCATCACAGAGGTCCCCCCAGGTTTGTTCCCGGGAGACCTGTTAGGCAGCAGCATAGACTAGGAATTCACTCTCTAAAGTGAAGGAAAAGCAGAGAACAGTTTTTTGCCTGACATCAGGCATTTATAATCTAAATATAGTGTTTAGGTATTCCATCTACATACTTAGTCCCCCGTAGCCTGCCAAAGAGAGATGGGATAATATTAATATCAGCAAGCTTGTATAGGGCCAACAAGATTGTTCTATTACTCACTGATTGATTAAGACAATCCTGATGAATGCCCCACTACTGTGCCTGCTATAGTGCAAGGCATTATTAGCCAGGGGTGGAATAATAAGATAGGGGGAAGAGATAGGGTCTACCCATATAACTTAAAAAGTAGGGTACGGTTGGGCCGGCCCGTGGCTCACTCGGTAGAGTGCGGTGCTGATAACACCAAGGCCACGGGTTCGGATCCCATATAGGGATGGCCGGTTTGCTCACTGGCTGAGCGTGGTGCTGACAACACCAAGCCAAGGGAAGTAGGGTACGGTTGGGCCGGCCCGTGGCTCACTCGGTAGAGTGCGGTGCTGATAACACCAAGGCCACGGGTTCGGATCCCATATAGGGATGGCCGGTTTGCTCACTGGCTGAGCGTGGTGCTGACAACACCAAGCCAAGGGTTGAGATCCCCTTACCGGTCATCTTTAAAAAAAAAAGTAGGGTACGGTAAGTAAGTTTATTTAAAGTATCTATATCAAATAAAATAACATTTAAAAAAAAGAGAAAAAGAGAGGTAAGATAATACTGAATTGAGAAAATCAAGGTAGAAAAGACAATGAGAGTTAAGCCAGGCCTTAAAGCTGGGGCTCCTGACCTGAGGACCACAGGTGGGATTCAGGGGGTCAGTGAACTTGGATGGGAAAAAAATTATCTCATCATTTTCACTAACCTGTAACTGAAATCTAACATTTCCTTCTATTATGAAAGTATCATTAGCTATTTTGCCCCCAATAAAAATTATGAATATTTTTACATTACAGTTATAGATATCTTGAAATATCATTCATGCCTAACAGTCCTTGAAAATTACAGTAGTTGTTAGACTTTTGCTGGCAATTATTTAAATATTGAAAGAAGCCCATCACAATTTTGTTAAATATTTTGATAACTATTTATCAATGTACTTTGCTTCTTTTGAATCCTGCGTATTTCATGTATTAATTTCAAGCATCTAACTACATTATTCAGAGAAACATGTCTTTAGATTGTCATAGCACAGAAAAGCAAAGAGTCCTTGCCTTAGAAAATGGCTAGGCCTCCTACCAGCAGTTACGGGACAGAAAGTGCTCTGACAAGGGACTGGCCTACCTGAAGGCTCAGAGACAGGATGGGTGACTGGATGCTACAGCATCTGGTGGGAAGACATGGAAATAAAGCCAAGGTGAAGTTGAGTCGCAGGCCGACGTGGCCTCACAGATAAGTTTGCAGGTGATGGGAAATGGTGGGAGGTGTTTCTGCTGAGGAAGGATGCCTTGCAGAACCGTGAGAGTTGGATGGGAAGGGAAGAAACTGGAGGCTGGGAGATCAGTTTCTGCAAGGTGCGATGCAGACCAGATGGAGCGTAATGAGAGTGGAGAGAAGCAGGGAGTTCCAGCATGACTGTGGAACTCGAGCGGCAGGTGAGGACAGCCATGTTAGGTTTCAAGCCTGGGGGACGGGGAGGGTCATAACAGACTAACATTTATTGAGTGCTTACTGTGTGCCAGGTGCTGTTTGAAGCCTCTCTATGTCATTTGTTTGTCACTTAATTGATACCATTTAATACTCATAGCAACTCTGTGTGGTCAGTACAATAATCCCTATTTTACAGATAATAAACTGAAGCCTAGAAAAGAAAGGTTAGGAAAAATGCCCAGGGTCTCACAGCTAGCAGAGGAGAAGGGAGGGTGCTATTGAAAGAAAAGGAAAGAGGAATTGTTTGGGGGGAAAATGTTATGAGTTCAATTTTAGGTATTTTTCCATTGTTATCTTGTCTTTGATTATTTCAAAGGACTAAAAATTCATATATTTGTAAGCACTGTTACTGGTTTATTTCATTGTCCAGTTATTTATTTATTTTTTATTAGTAAGTGAGTGCTGAGGTCATTTGTAAATTGGTTTCATCTCCCTGTGAAAAACAGAGGAAACTGGTAGGTGGAGTTAGGTACACCGATGGGTACCCAGAGGGAAGAGGTTGCTCTTCCCAGAAGAGATGCACGATGTGTATTAAATGATTTCTGTTTAATGATGCATTTTTCTTCTGTTGTGGTATTGTTTTTCAGGACCAGACCTGCTGCTGTTTTAGAAGACATGTGGTGTATATAAAGTTTGTGATAGTTGGCAGAAATTTTGGTAAGTCTTGCTGCATATATTTCTGATCCCTTTTGTTGAAAAATAGTGCTCAAGAAGGGAAGCCATTGCCTTGTTCTGTACATCTTTTAAATCTGCACTAAACTTAGAATGGAATTTTATAATTAAATTCAACATTGAATTGGTGTTTTCTGACGGTATGACATTGTTTTTTGTTATTGCTGATTTTATTAAGCACTGTGGGGTTTTCTAAAATATAAGAAGTCTAGATTTAGGAAAGCTTCTGGATGCAGGGTAAAGTATACCCTTGACGGTTTAGTTTATCTTCGTAGTCATCCATGTAATAGAACAGTAGTAAAATTGTAAACCAAAAGGATAAAATAAAGTCTCCAAAGCCCAGAAATTCTTATAGCTTGTATGTTGAAATGAGAGAGAAGCAGGCAGTTAGCTGCTTGGTGAATGGGAAATTAAAGGAAGTTAAGAATCCAGCGTGCCTGGGAGCCAGCCTACAGACCAGCATAGCAGTAGCCTAGGAGACCAAGACCATTCAATTTGGTAACCACCCATACCTTGCTAGCAGTGACAAAGTAGACAGTCTTCAGGGTCAGGAGACCTGGGTTAAAATTTAAGTTCTGCACCTTCTGGTTGTTACATGACTTTTCTATGCCTCAGTTTTCTCTTCTGTTAAATGGCTTATCGTGTTACCTACTTTATAGGGCTGTTAGGAGAATAAAATCAGCCAGGCAGTGCTGGGGCATAGTAGTTGCTCAATAAAGCAGTCACTCTTGATAGCAACATAGCCTTGTTTAGAGATTAGACATTGCCACTGAGGTCAAGCTACCACTTTGAATCTTCTGGCAGGACTGCTGGAAATGGGTTGGTCATACCCATTTGATATCATAGTCACTCGCCACAGTCTCTCCTCCAACACTCAGTTCATAACCAGCTTTGAGAATCCCTGTGACATTTGCCCTCTTCTCCAATTCTGGTGACCCATTCTTAGACAAGCCTGACGAATTTAACTTCCCTTCCTACCACCTTTGCAACCAAGTAAGGTCACATTGTTTGACCTTTATTCGGTTTTGGAGTTAATGTTATTCTGAACCACATTAACAAGAAGAAAAAGAAATGTTGGGGTAGATAATACCCTTGGTTTGGACCTCAATTACCATGTTTAGGCTTTCATTTCCGAACCTTTCTTTTGATTTGATTTGATTTTTTGTCTATGCTTATTATGTAGCCTTCATAGAGATCCAATTATTGGATTGAAATTTTTGAGCTTTGACTAGAAGGATTTGATTTTGGGGTAAGGCCTTTATCTGTGGTTGGGGAGAATTAACCACGTCACCGCAGATGGGCTGATGTTTAAGGTCAGATGATTATAGTTAACTATGCTCTGGTTTCATGGATTCAAAGAGATGGACATGGCCCCAAGGGTTATCTGGCCCAATCTCCCACTAGCCAAAAAAAAGTCTCTTCTGCAGAATCCCTGACAGGAATTCAAATTCTCTCAGCAATGAGCTTGCTATTGTACAAGGCAGCTTGCTTCAATTAAAAAAAAACAATTAAGGGGGCACAGGGAAATTTTTTTTAGCAGGATGATAAAATTGTTCTACATCTTAATTGTGATAGTATTTATGCAATTGTATTGCTTTTGTGAAACCTAACAACTGTACACTAGAAAGGGTAAATTTTGCTGTATATTAATTAAACCTTAACTTATTTTTAAAAATTTTTATTTCTTTATTTATTTTTTAAACCTTAACTTTTTAAATGGAAAAAATAAACAAACAACTGGACAAGTAGATCAACTTGTTAAGAAGGAAGAGAAGGATGGAATGGAGAGGACGAGGCAGGAAGGGAGGAAAGGAAAGCTATCTAGTTCTTGTATTGAATTACATGCACTCCATGGGACGGGGACTTGGTCTTGCTCCTTCCTGTAGTCTCAGTGCCTGGAAAGTGCCTGAAATATAAAAGTATGTGATAAATATTTATCAAATCACCTACTGGTCGGGCCAGCCCGGTGGCGCACTGCTACAGTGCGCCGCTTGGGAGTGTGGCGGCGCTCCCGCCGAGGGTTTGGATCCCACATACAGACCGGCCGCTCACTGGCTGAGCGAGGTGCGGGCGCAACACCGAGGGTTGCGATCCCGTTGCCGGTCCCGGTCCGGTACGGGCACGACACTGAGGGTTGCGATCCGTTGCCGGTCACGAAAAAAGACAAAAAGGAAAAAAAAAATCACCTACTGGTCTTAGTCACTTCCTAAGTAAGTCCACTCACTTTCTTATGTTGTGAGGCACCCTCTCACAAGAAATACACTTACACGCCACTCGTGCAGAAAAGGGCAGTTTATTCACTCCAACTGGCCAGCGTCCATCTCCCAAGGTGCAACCAAGGAAGAACGGCATCAGGCTTTGGTCTTGTGGGGTTTTTAAAGACAAAAACTACATCCCATTGGCACATGGGTTGGTCCAAGTGCACAGAGCAAGCTAGGGGGCTAGCTCACAGAGGCCAAGAATGAGCCGTTCGAGCAGTCAAGCATACAAGTTTTCACTATGTACGGTTCCTGTTCCCATATAATAATTCACTGTGTATGGCTCCTGTTTTTGTGTAATTGTTTTCTGTTTCTATGAGAAAGTCAACGGTTTCTCATGCAGAAGGATGGTGGTAGTCTGCAGGTCAGACAAGGGACAAAATGGAGTTACTTAGGTTAAGCAAGCAGTTTTACAGAAGTAGATAGCATACGTTATAAGGGTGTAGGGAGCTCTATTTCATTCCCAACTCCTCTTTAGGAAGGAATCAAATCATTGATTCATTGGTACTTAATTTGTTGTACTTAGTATGACTGATTGTACTCGTTAACCAAGGTGACCAGGAAAAAGATTTTTAAACCAATTTTTATTATTACTATATGACTCTTCTCTTCTTCAATGTGTTTTCTGACTAATGCAAGGCTGTCTCTAATAACACCTGAATGGTTGGTATAGAAACAACACGTTTTTCTAGAGCCATATATAATCCACCTTGTTAGTCTGATTGTGTGCATTATATATGGGTGCAGCTGCTGCTGCGCATTCAGATAGGTCCAGCCTCTGTGTAGGACACAATTTTTTCCTCTTTGCTGTGGTCATTAACTTTTTACAACATTGTCAGATTGACCACTTGGTATAAATTTTTTATCAAGGCACTTTACATTTTAAAATTGTTATTTAATTGGAAAAACTCTCAATAAACTAGGAGTAGAAAGCACCTTTCTCAATCTAATAAAGTGCATCTACAAAAAGCCCACAGCTAATATCATACTTAATGGTGAAAAACTGGATGCTTTTCTCATAAACTGAGGAATAAGGCAAGCATGCCCATTCTTGTCCTTTTTTTTTTTTTACCGATAAGGGGATTGCAACCCTTGGCATGGTGTGGTCTGCACCATGCTCAGCCAGTGAGCACACCGGCCATCCCTATATAGGATCTGAACCCGCTGCCTCGGCACTACCAGCGCTGCACTCTCCCGAGTGAGCCATGGGGTGGCCCCATTCTTGTCATTTTTATGCAGTATTGTATGGGGCCAGCATTGTATGCTAGCCAGTTTGCTCATGACAATGAAAGAGGTCCAGATTGGAAAGGAACAAGTAAAACTGTCTTTATCCATAGATGGTATGGTTCTGTGTGTAGAAAATACTGAGGAATCCATACAAAAAGCTACTAGAACTAAACATGTTTGACAACGTTGAGGACCTGAGATTAAAATGAAAAAAGCAATTGTACTTCTATATACTAGCAATGAACAGTCTGAAAATGAACTTAACAATTTCATTCACGATAGCATTAAGAGAATAAAATGTTTAGGAACAAATTTAACAAAAGCATGCAAGACTTGTCTGTTGAAAACTACAAAATACTGCTAATAGAAATTAAAGACAATCTAAATAAATGCAGAGACATTTCATGTTCATGGACTAGAACACAATATTGTTAAGATGTCAATTTTTTCCAAATTGATTGATAGATTCAATGTAACCCCTCTCAAATTTTAGGAGGCCTTTTTGTAGAATTGACCAATTGCTTTTGTCGGTGGGTAGGCCTCTCTGATGGTTATGGTTAGTGATTTTAGCTAGTTTATCATCTTTGAGGTGAGGCAACAGAGAGGGTGTAATTTCTTGTATGTAGGGGGTGCATTTAGCCCTTAGTAGGGCAAAGGGAAGGAGGCTCACCCAGTTCTCACCAGTCTCTAGTTTTAATTTGGTAAGTGTTTCTTTTAAAAGTCCAATTCAGGGGTCGGTGCTCCCACCGAGGGTTTGGATCCCATGTGGAGACCAGTTCCTGCTCACTGGCTAAGCGCGGTACGGACGCAACACCGAGGGTTGCGATACCGTTGCCAGTCCCCGGTAGGGGCGCAACACCAAGGGTTGTGATCCCGTTACCGGTCAGTAAAAAAGACAAAAAGGAAAAAAATAAATAAATAAATAAAAGTCCAATTCATTCATTCTACCTGTCCTCAACTTTGTGGCCTATAAATACAACGTAAATCACAATTTATTTTTAATGTTTTAGCTAATAATTGGGAAATTTGGGCTGTGAAAGCCAGGCCATTGTCAGACCCCAAGGTTACAGGTAGGCCGACTCTGGGGACAATTTCGTGTAATGATTTTTAGTGTTATCTGAGTGGTTTTAGGTTTGGTAGGAAAGGCTTCTACCCATCTAAAAAAAGTGTCCACAAAGACTAAAAGATATTTATATCCATATTGGCCAGGTTTTACCTCTGTGTAGTCTATTTCCCATTGTTCGCTTGGCAGTGATCTGCAACTCCTGGCTCCAGATATTTTAGGGGCAGACTTGCTTGGATTAACCTGTGGGTAGACTTCAAATTTATAGGTTATGCTTTTGGTTAATTTATCAAGATTGTACATATAAAAGAATTGGTGTAACAGTTCAGCAAGCTTGGTGGCTCCCAGGTGGGTGGCTTGATGCAGTTGGAAAATAAGAGTTCTTCCTAATGCCTGGGGAAGATAGATTCTTCCATCAGGGGGACATTTCCATTCCT